ATGGTTTTTCAGGTCTTTCTGGTCCTTGTTTGGGTGTCTTCAGCTGCTGGTTACTTTGAGATTATTCTTGATTTGTTTTTGTTGTTAGGTCTGAAATTGTGTTTCTGTGACCTTCCCAGGTAGTATAGAGCATCCTATAACATCTGGTAGTTTCTGCTCATTTACTAGCGTCCACATTTGTTCCCCTTTTCCTTGATATCTTCATTTACCTGAGAGTTGTTTAAAAGCATTTTACTTAGTTTCCACCTCTTTGGGGTTATTCTAGGTTCATTTTATGGTTAATTTCTAGCTCAGCAAGATGCTTCATATAATTTCTGGCTTCATGTATGTGAGACTGCTTTTCGGTCCTAGTATCTGGCCTGTTCTGGAAACTGCCAGGCACACTCAGGAGGAATGTCTGTCCGTTGCTTTGAGGATGGGGGGCTCTGTGAATACCCGGTAAGTCCGTCGGACCTCGCCCTTCCTTTAAGACCTTCAGTCTGCTTGTCTGTCAGGGCGCCCTGTCCCTCCAGGCCAGTGGTGTGCTGAGGTCTCCCACAGCGCGTGCTCACCGCGACGCGGTGCGAGGGCCGCGGGCTGCGGGGCTGCCGCGGAGCCGCCTCCTGTGCCTGCGGCGTGTCTCCGAGGGCAGTGTTGTCCCCGGCGGCCCTCGTGGCCGCCGCTCGCTGTCCGTCTTTGTCCCCAGTGCCTTCTTCCCTTTGTGTTTGTCTTTTGGTTTTCAGTGGGACCCTTGCGAACCAGCTAGGGATGGCTCCGATTTTTCAGCCACATCGTTAGCTAGTGTCTTTTTATTGGTGAACTCCGACCGTGCGCATTCAGGGTGATTACTGCCAGCCACTGTTTCCAGGCACTGGGGTTTGAGTTTTTGATTACTGCTCTGTTTTCTTTCTTTCTCCAGATGGCTTTCCTTAGTATCTTATCCATTTCTCTGCTTCTTTATCAGTGGGTGTCTCTTCTGCGTTTCTGGTTAGTGAACACCAAGATCTGTGCCTTACATTTCTCTGGTTTAGGGCCTTTATGCGCCAGGATCTGCTTTCTGACACTGTCCATTTCCTTCCTCCCCCACACCCCGCGCTGTTGTGAGCCCATGGTGTTTCTGTGGGTGGCCTTGGGGTTAGAGAGCGCGTTATTTTGCTAAGGATTTCATGCTTTGGTTTTTCTTGTGTAACAGCCTTTGGTATTATCCGAACAGCAGGTCTGGTGGTGGCAGACTCCAAACTCCCTTAGCTTCTGATTATCTGAGAAAATGTTTATTGTTCCTTCATACTTAAGTGATAGTGTTGTAGGCCAGAGAATTCTTGGCTGAGTGTTGCAAATATTTCCTTCCATGTTCTTTTTGCCTGGAGACTGTCTGGATTGAGGTCTGGGGAAATCCAAATTTGGTAGCCCTTATAAATTGTTCCTTGTTTTCCTTTCTTCCTGCAACACTTTTTGTCATTGAACTTTTGATGCTTTGACAATGATGTGTGGGTAGAGAGCTCTTTGGTCTAAGAATCAGGTATTCTCCCTGCTAGCTGGACCTCCGCATTTCCTTGAGTAGGGCTTCTACTCCCATTTACCTTCCTTCCCCTCCGGGTCAGCCTGATCTTTCTGAGAGACTTGTGTCAGTTTCCTTTGTGTTGACACTCTTCTTCCAAATGTTAATCTGTTCATTTGAGTCTGGTATATCTGAAGTTCTTCCGCCCTCTGCGACTAAGTAAGGCACTCAGTTAATCGGCATTTCATTTCACTTTTGTGATCTCTCTATTTGCGCATTCTCTTCAGAAAACCACCCTTTGTCCTGGACCTCTTGGAGAGATTTGTCTCTCTCTGCCTGTGCCCTTCTTCTGCCTCACTGAACATTTTGAATAGTTTGTCTGACACCTGCCTTTCTCATTTTGCTTTTCCAGCCTGTGTGGCAATGTCCCGTGCTTGCTCGTATCCACAGTGCCTTACTTGCAGCTGTTTCTGCACACAGGTGTGGGGGGCCCTGGGGCTTTAGCTTCGTGCTCCTCCTTAGTCTGCTGTGTGTGGTGTGGTGGAGGCACGCGGGGCCCTGGTGCCAGCAGTGGATGCTGGTTTGGTGACGGTAGCCACCTCCACCTCTGGTCTGGCTCCCCAGTGAGCATGAGTGCTCAGCTTGTCGCTCCTCCCCACCTTCTTGCTGTTCCCTTCTGCAGAGAGTCCTGATCTCTGAGGCATGGGCCTCCTGGTGGGAAGAGCAGGGCCTGGACCACCAGGCACTCTGTCCGGGATTCCTTCACCTGGTACCGGTCCCAGGGGCCGTGAGAATGCTGTGTGAGTGCTCACTGCACTTGGCACATGGGCTCACCCTGTGAGTGCCCAGCGGCCCCGCAGGGGTCCACCAGGCAGGCAAGCTGAGGGGGTCGACGCCCCACTGTGAGCTGCTGCCAGCGTGCTGGTAGGTATGTGTGGCACGTGCTGCTGCCTGTCCGGATGGTGTCGTCTTCTCAGGAGATGAGCTTGCATTCGCAGTTTGCCCAGCCAGAGGCTGGTGCGTGTCCTGGGCATGTCCATTGTTAGCGTGCCGCGCGGTGATGGGGGGAGGTGGTGGTGGGGTCGGGGGTTGGGCATGGGAAGTGCATGCAGCAGAGCCTGCCCCGAGCCACCAGCGTCCTGTGCCCACTGCACCAGCCCTACCCCAGTGAGGCATGAACAGACGGGCTGCGTAAACAGACAGGCTGCATCTCCGGGCGTCCTTCCTGCGGTCTGCCCTTCCCGGCCTGCGCCTTGCTGCGGGAGAAGTCCAATGTCCACCCAGGGAGGCCGCGTGCACTGAGTGGGAAGAGGCTCGTCTGCAGTCAGACTGTGTTTGCACAGAGCAGCAGGGACCCGTCAGGCGTGTTAGCCTGGGGGTGTGCACCCGTGTCAGGGTGTATCGCGCCGCAAGTCAGGGCTGCCCTGCAGGGCCGGGGCCGCCCTGGGGTGGTAGTGACTGGGGCTCCCGGATTGCTCTGCCCCAGACAGCTGGTTCCTGAGGTCTCCGTGTTGCGGCCGTAAACCTCTGGGAAAGTTAGCACACAGGTCAGCAGCCGCCAGCAGCCCGAGCCCTTTCGGGGTCCCGCGGTTCCTGGCAGCCAAAGCACCAGTGGCCACTAGCGTCGCCGGCAGGCAGGGATCCCTTCCCATGCCCCCCAGAGGCTCCCTGGGCCTCGCTTCCGGGGGCTCTGCCCTGCTGCCACCCACGTGGAGCAGGATTGGGGTAGAGGGGAAGGACAGGGCACCGGCACTGAGCTGGGGGCGGGGGGCCAGATGTGCCTGCTCCTGTTCGGGCCTGTGCTGCTCTGGCCAGCCATCCCTGCCTCTCCTGCTGGTCAGAAAGGTGCAGCTGGTCTTCCTGAGACCAGGGGGCCTCTCCGTGAGCAGCTTTATTTCTGCGAAGAGTGATGCTTCACCACCTCAGCTGCCCTTCATGGGACGCTGCAGTGGCCCCAGCGTCGGGCAGGTGGGACTACTGGCTGATGTGGTGATGCAGTGTGGAGAGAATCTTCAAGCACATGGGAGACCAGGTCCCTGCACAGAGCGACCTCCCCCATGCAAGTTTAGGGCCAAATGCGGCTCCAGGCGAGCAATGGAAACGATTAAAGGGCTGATGATGAAAGGGTGACGGGGTTGGGGCAGGGGGAGGGCTGCGAGGGTGAGCTCGAGGCAGTCGTCAGGGCAGCGTGTGGCACGTGGGAGCCAGCTGTTGCCCAGCTGTGCCGCAGGCGGGAGAAAAGGGAACCAGAATCTGCCAACAGATTTAGGTTACACCGGAGGGGCCAAGGCTGTCAGGCAGCTGGGGGCTGGAAACCACTGCCGAAGGCCCTCAGCCCTGGGGCCGGTGCTCTGAGCTGAAGGCAGACTGTGCCTGCCTGGCTCTGGGAAGCTCATGGGCACATTATGGAAGAAACGGAAAACTGGGAGGCTGACCCAGCGGCCGGGGGTTGACAGCCTCCCACAACCCTGATTTTGGGGGTGTGTCTTGAGGACAAGGAGTGGGAGGTGGGGGGCCCTGCGTGCTGGTGCTGTTGGCGGGGCGGGCCGGGCCGGGGGCCCTGGCGCCCCAGGAGGACGGGCCAGAGCCCACAGGCACTATCATGCCAGGCAGCCCAGGCTGGCCCGCTGCTCTCCACACCGCTGGGACGGTCCCTCTTGGGAACTGGGTCTGTTTTTTTAAACTGAGGATTTCTAAATACCACAATAGTGTATATGATTTAGTAGAGCGTGAGGCTTTTTTTTTTTTTTTTAATGTTTTATTACAAAGCTTCTTTTAAAAAATGCTCAGCACGTTAACTCCAACTGGAATGACAAACGTCAGGTGACGATTTGGGCAAAGGCTGTGCCTCGCTATTTAAAAAATGGGCAGGTACATCAATGCTCATTTTAACAACTGGCATAAAATCCCACTAGTTGGCTAATAAAAACAGATACAAATACAGAACATTGAAAGGAATAACAGTTCAAGTGCTGGGCTTTTTACAAGGTGGTGAGGAGGAAAGAAACAAGAATTCACTGCAAACCGGTCTGCGAAGTGTCTGTGCGGCCGGCGAGGGCGCCTGGGGGGCCGCACGGGCCTGCGGGGGGGCCTGCGGGGGGCCGCTGCCGCGGAACTGGTTTGCCAGGGAGAAGCCACTGGTGGCCGAGAGAGGCTTCTGCATTTCCTTTTATTCCAGGTCTTTGAGTTGTACTGAAAAGCTCATAGCTAGCAAAATATACAAGAAAATTAAAACTAAAAATGTAAATCGAAAAAATTCAAGTTTAAAAAAAAAAAAAAGGAAGCAAACCCAAGATGGATCTTGCGCGCTGTTAAATAAAAGCTGCAGGTGGAAGGAGGAGCAGGAAACGGAGCGGTGGCCTGGCAGGTCCCGCGAGGTCCACGGAGGGCTCCGGCCTCTGGGGCTGGTCGCTGCGGAACCTTTGTGCTGACTGGGGGCGCTGGCGCCTGGCGGGTGGCAGTGATTGTCTCTGGCGGCTCCGCGGCGCCCTCCGCGGGCGGACTGGGCCCGAGCAGAGTCTGGGGTTCAGCAAGCTTCCATCTCCAGGAGGGGCCCTGGGGCCGCCGCCTTGGCTTTGCACGTGGGGAAGGAGCTTCGTTTTCCACCTCAGGAAGGAACAGAGGAAAGGCAGTTAACGGGGTGAGCGCGGGCCTCTGCTGGCCTCGCCCCCTCGCCACCGGCCTCTGGGGCGCTGCCCACGCCAGGGGCCTGTTGCTACAGGTATGTGTTACACAGGGCTCGATGGGCCGGCCGGGCAACACGTGCGTCTCGGGGAAACACCTGCACACGCCAGGACAGGCAGACTGGCTCGTGGGGGCTGGGCTCTTTGCTGTGGTGTGGTGCTGTCCAGGATCAGCCTCTGGGGGAGCCCCCACACTGGGTGGCTCGGCTCTCCCGAATGCGCCCAACGCTGCTGGCCTCAACATCTCGCTGGGCCCTAACTACTGGCTGTCCGCCTTGGTGGGTGTCTGTGACACTCACTCTCACGGACTTCTTGGAAACTGGTCGTGACAGAGACCTCCCCAAAGGCGAGTCCCAAAGCTTGTGTGGCTGGAGATACTGTAATGCGATTAAAGGCAAAATACAAGCATGTAGCCAGAGGAGGCGCGGGCAGAGGAAAGTGGAATCTTGCAGCTGGAGAGTATCACCCCGCTGAGTCGGGGAGCGGCACCCAGCTGCAGGGAGTGCCAGAGTCCCCCAGCCCCAGACCACCTGAGGGCCCCGGCCTGTGCTATGGGGTCCTTGGTAGCAGTACAAGCTTGCTTCAGGGAATGGTGAGTCCCTTTGTGCTCCTTAAGGAGATAACTACAGATACTACAGTGGGAAAGTGGGCAGGTCTGAGATCGCTTGCTAACAAACTGAGCAGGGTGGGAGCCTCAGTCTACCTGGGGTGCAAGGAGTAGAGGCCCCGCCAGGCTGCGCCCTAGCCCCCAGGAGAACACTGTGGGCCACGAAGACCGCGCAGGAGGCCTCAGCGACCCCTGGGGGCCACATCGACTGCTGCCCCGCTGGGACCGGGAGGGCGCCTGGGCTCAGGGCCAGCACCCGCGAGGCCCCCCCCGCCCTTGAAGTTGGGGTAGAGACCAGCTCCCGCCCTGCTGCGCCCCATACCCGTAGGCTCTGGATGCCCTCCTGGAATGGGTTCAGAGCCCCTGTACCACCAAGCCAGCGGGAAAACAGAAGCGGCCTGGGTAGGCTGCTCCTTTCTGCGCCTTCCAGGCCTCCCGAGGGGCAGAAGCCTTACGGTGCCTCCACGGGCAGACACTGGGTCGGATCTAGACCCGAGGCTCCAGGCCAGGGCTGGACAGGCCCCTGCATCCAGGGTCTACAGGAAGGAGCTGTGCTCCTGGCTCTTCATGCACCCTCAGGCACAAGGGCAGGGAGCCCCGAGGACCTGGGTGGCCCCCCAACAGCTGGGCCTTCACCGAAAATAGCCAAGATGGTGCCTGCACCCCAGGCCCCGCAGACAGGCTATTTGCTCTCTCCCAGCTGGGGGTGGCCAGAGTGTCCACTCATCAGGGAGAAGGGTGCAGTGGAGATGGGCGGGGCTCGGCGTGGCTAACAGATGAACGCCCTGGGAGCCAGGTGCTAAGAGAGGGGAGGGCTCTTGTGGCTGCTCAGTCAGGAGGTGCCACCCAGGGGGCACATGGGAGACTGTGCTCCCCACATGCTCACCTGCAGCCTGACCAGAGTCTGGCCCCTGGCCCAGGTAGACAGAGGGCACTGTGACCAGGGTGGGCGCCAAGAGGACTGTGCCTGCCCCCCCCCTGCTGTTCATGACCTGAACCTCACCGCCGCAGGCAGCCAGGGCCACCAGACTGCAGGCAATGTCCCTCTCCCACCTCCTGGCCGCGCGCGTCTCCCTGGCTGTGCTGTCTGTACTTGGGTGCCTAGACCCAAGGCGGGAAGAGAGGGGGTTGGTTGGCCTTTGGCATCGGGCAGGGTCCCTGGACTGGACGGCTGTGGCCCGCGGGAAGCTGCTGTCCCCGCCCTTCGGTGCTTGGTGCTCCACTGCGCCAGGCCCCTCCCACTGCTGGTGGAGGAAGATGCTGCCACCTCCAGGCCACACTTTTTGAGGCCTGTTCCTGAGCCCCGTTGCCCATCATCGCTCGCCACACTACGACTTAGGCTGCCCAGCCTGTCTCTCGTCAACCGGGGGTCTTGACAAGGGGCGGCCACGTGCATGCACACACACACCACCCCCGGTGTGTGAGCCCATAGGCCGCTGGGTAGGAGCAGGCCTCCGGGCAGGTCCTGGACACGCCCATCTCCTCATCCTACCTGTGGGGGACTTTGGGGAGCCAGGGGGGTGTAGGGGGTGAGTCCTACTCTGCGAGACGGCTCAAGGAGCTGGTTCCAGGTCCCCGCATGGCTGTGCCTGCACGAGGCCGCAGAGGGAGGCAGCTGCCAGCCGGCGCGTGTGCCAGGACTGCGGCGTTTATGGGTGGAAGCCCCAGCACGGTAGCTTAACCTCAGGAAGTAGGTCCCCAGAAACGAGCAGACAAGTGTCCCCAAAACACCAGCAGGAAGGCAGTATGTTCGTGGAGGCTTTATCCAAAGGTCACATAGTTCAAGTTAAAGGTGCCTTGTGCCATCACTCCAACGTGAGCAGGTTGGGCAGCTACATTGCCTTGCGGGATGTTTCCATTTTCTTTGAAAGAAAAGGTGTCCCTGCTCGGTCACAGGTACCTATTGGGTCTTGGGGGTTGCAAGGTCATGGCCCTTCACAGGGCACCGTACTCCTGACGTTCCATGTACAGGTCATTCAAATCAGCTTTGTTTTCTGGCTCCAAATCCACATTGTTTAGGGGTGAGGACAGTCAGTCACAGCAAATCTTCAGCCCCACCTCCTGGGGTCCCCTGGAAGGGGGCAGTGTCCTCGGGAGGAGGCAGTGTGTCGCTGCATCTCGTGGGGGGGGGGCTGCAGGAGGGACCCACTGCACCGCCTGTGGTCCTGGGCCCCTGGATAACCTCTCCCGCTGTCGGCCAGCCCCCATGGCCTGGCCCTGCACCACAGTGACGGCCACTCTGCCCTGTGGCTTCCAGCTCTGGCCACGGGGACTAGGGACTGCTCACCATTGGTGTCCCTCCTCCTCAGAGGTTGAAAAGCCTCTGCTTTTGGGGGGCTGCTGGCGATCAGACGTAAGCTGGGGTAGAGTCTGGGGGTATAGGCAGCCACGGTCTGCCCCCACATTCCTCCTGGCCTCAGCATCTGCCCACAGGCTGCACACCAGAGCCAGCAGAGTGCATAGGGCCAGCTGGGAGCTGCTCTGCAGCTTGGCAGTGGGGGGTTGGGGTCTGGGCATCTCCTGCAGGTTTCTGTTACCCTGAATTGTGCAGGGACTGGTGGGGCAGCATAAAGGGAGGAGATGGAGCAGTCCCCATTCAAGGGGACTGCGAGGCAGGTGCTAGGACTGCTGGAACCCTCCCTGGGCAGTAAACTTGGTACAGCAGGACAAGGCCTTGCTGCGCACACACGGCTGTGTCCCATCGGTGTGTGGAGAGCACAAGGGGCCACGTGGTCTGCAGGACTCCCGGCCGTGACCTAAGCCCATGTCGGGATGAGGAGGTCTGGAACCTGGGGCCTAAAGCCCGTTTTCGTTTGTGACTCTGGACAAGGCCTAAGCTTCATCTGGCTATTGGTGATGCTTCTCTGTATACGAGCTTGGCTTTGCTTTCTAGCGGGACACTGGAACCACCTCACAGATGGGAACACCTAAGTGTGTACTGTGTGACGAGGCTCAGGTAAGAGCGTCTCCCATGCCAGACATCCAGGGTGCGTGGCACACTGGATGAAAGCGTTTCTTCCCTAGGATCCCCCAGCAGGTCCCCAGGCTGAAATCAGTCAGCATGGTCCTATCAGAAAGCTGGGCAAAGCCTTCACTGCAGCCTGGCACCCCACGAGTGTTTCTAGGGGCCCACACCCAAAACCAGGACCTCCTTGCCAGGCAGGGCCCAGGGGAGCGAGGCCTGAGGGGCTGAGTCACAGCACCTAGGACCACACTGGCACGTTGATGTCCATGGTAAAAGTCATCGCCCCACACCAGACAAGATCCGCTGGTCTGCCTGGATCTTTTCTGTCGTGTCTTAAGGGAGCGTGTTACTCCTTTCAGGGAGTCCAGTGGCTTTTGTCATCAAAGAACACAGGGAAGTCTTTCTGACTACAGAATTTTAAGACGACAGCCCTTTTCTGTTTTGCTAAAGTAAATATATGTGAGCCAATTTGTAAAGCTCCTTTACGGAGGCAGCTGGAAGAGACAGTTCTCTGCAGTTCCTCGAGAAGTCCTAGCGCTTTGCTGTCTGAAGTCAGGGAGAGAAGTTTGGTGTCGGCAATGCCGACATGTGCTGCGGACGCTTCCACCCAGAAGCGCGGGGGCCCCTCCCTCTGCAGCGCCACCACCTTCAGGAAGCGTTCCTAGGTCTCATGGACCTACCGCGTGTCCTGTTTTTCTATGATGCTCTGTGTGCATCTCTGTCATAGTGCCAGAGACACTGCTTTATATTTGCCCAGATGTGTGTCTTAAGCTCACGTGGGGATGGGCAGGTCCCCAATCTCCCACCGTCCGAGGCTGGCGGGAGCAGCTCCCTTGTCTGTTTGCAGAGCAAGTAGGAAATGACTGCACCTCAGGGCCTTCCACAGACAGAAGGTGGTGTGCAAGTGTGTCCCCGAGAAACGCACATAAGGCAAGGAAGGGTCAGCTTGCTGGGAAGACCCCCAGCGTGGGCCCTACTTCCGGACAGAACCTGATGGGGGTGTTTCTGGGCCCCCACCTGTGGTACGAACATGGGTGCAGGTGCTGGGTGAGGTGCGTCGTTTCCTGGCATCCTCCACCCGAGCAGTGAAAGCCCTATGGTGGGGCGGGCTGAGCTGTTGGGGGGGTTCTGGCGCCACCCAGGCAAGGCCACCTGCAGGACAGGTGTATGCGCAAAGGGGCGGACGCGCAGAGGTCACTGCTGGGGCGGGGCCTTCCCCTGGCCTTGGCTATTCTGGCCTGGGCGCAGGCTCTGAGTGTCGTGTTTTCACAGGCGCCCCACCCCCAGCCGTCTGGGTCTCCTGCCCGCTCTGTGCTGGAGGCCCGGGCCCGCCCATGCGGCTCCTTCCCTGCTTGCACTGGGGGGGGGTGGGGGGTCTGGCTGTGGCCATGTGGAGACATGCCCCCCCCCACCTCCGCCGCTGGCCTCAGTGGCCACAGCCTGCAGGCCTGGGGTTTCGCCCCAGCTCCGAGGGGACAGGCAGCCTCAGCAAACCAATCCCCAGATGTGAGAGGGGACCTCGGGCAGAAGCAGACTCAGCGGTGCTCGGCCGCCTTGGGCAGAGCCCAGCACCACACTTAGCTGTGAAGTCACAGCTGCGTGGGCCTTGTAATGGGAGAGTGAGGACAAAGGAGAGCGCGCCGCAGGTCTGCGCAGCCGCGGGTCCCCCAGCCTCCAGTGCCGCCGGAGCTGCCTCCCCAGAGCTGCCTCCGGCCTCCTCCAGCCGGGACCCCAGTGGCCTCCATCACACCTCACTCGCTACCTGTGGGGGCCGGAGCTGGTTTCATGCCGAAAGCCAGCCGCATGTGTTAGCTTCGACGAGCTTAAAGAGCATAAAGCTACGATGAAACTTTAGAAAATGCCGCATTGGCCTGAAGCTGACCAGTTAGGAGTGGGGGCGGCAGCAGAGACCCCGCACCCAGGCTGCGGGCTAGGGGCGGCTGGGCCGGCGCAGCGCCACTCTGCCCTCGTCCAGCCCAGGTCTGCGGGCAGCACTGGGGAGCCCAGTCATGCTTCAGGCCCGCGGCCCGCAGTCAGGCAGTGAAGGCGGCATCGCTTTGTGTTGCAGAAGATGCCTCAGAGCAGCGTCCGGTCCGCAGAGCAAGGACACGCCCCCGGGCTGTGACACCACCCACGCGGACAGTCCGGCGCTGGGCTCGGCATGTGGATAGCGGCTGGAGGTGAGTGTCGGGGACAGGCACCGTGGCCGGGCGGATGACAGTGGCCGACACAGGTGGACCTGCCCTGAGGATGGCGGGCGGGGCTGCCCGCCGCACACCCCTGGCAGAGACTGCGCCGGGCGTGCTTTAAATCAGGCTGCGGCACGTGTGTGTTTCCTCGGCTGAGCAGCTCAGACATGCGGGGCCTGCGCGGTTTTGCTCTTTGCTGAGCACTCGGCCTCCGGCACGCAGCGGGTGTGTGCGTGTCCGCTCACCCGCCAGGCCCGCCGCGCCCCCGCCCCAGCCGGCGGGAGGACCATGTGTCGGGCTCTTACCATGCTTCAGATGTAGGCAGCTGCCATTCGGGGACCTGTACCTGCAGAAAATTGTGTCTTTCACCAACGGGGAAGGACGGGGCAGACGCAGGTGGCTTCACCGCCATGCGGCTTGACGCCCCGCCTCTGGCCCCTCCAGCTGTGGGGGACAAGTGGCCTCGGAGAAAGGAGGGTCAAGGGGGGGTCTTGGCGACGGCTGCTGAACTACGTCCTAGAAGAAATCCTATTGGTGTTCCCCACTTCTCAGAGCCCCAAACGCAGGAGTGGCTGGGGACGGGCGCGCGCCCGGCTAAGCAGTCGCGCACACACAAACCGAGCAGGAGGCGACAGACAGCCCCGGCAGGACGTGCTCCGGGCACAGGTGAGGGGGCCGTCGAGCCTGCGGGGAAGCAGCGTGAGGGTTGCAGGATGGCGGGGGCGGCGTGCCGGCTCACCTGATGTCGACTCCTGCAGTTTCTCTCTCTTCCTCTTCTTTTTCTTACCCTGGGAGGAAAGAGACATCACGTCAGGGACAGGAGACCCCGGTGCCTCTTTAAGCCAGAGGTCCCTTCTATAGGGGTCTAAGTTACTGTCATGTGGACAGTGGATCTGAGTCATGAGAGCAGGGGGCGGCCAGCTGCAGCCACGTGGCCTGTCACGCTGCTGTACGTTGGCTGCAACAATCACGTTAGCGAATGACAAAACATGGGCCTCAGTTGCCAGGCTGACATCTGGGCGATACAGTGATGCTACGCGCCAGGGAGGCTTGAGTTCTTGTGAAAGGCAACGGTCCCGGGTCTAAGCGGCTGGTGGCGAGGTGCTGCGGCCTGCCCCTCCTCGCCCCCCTCCGGCCTGAGTCCTCACCCGAGTGTCGTCTCTTCCGGGAACCTTTTCTCCCCTTCCTGAGCTCCCCCTGACCCCCGCCCGTGGGATACTCTCTTCCCTTGGGGCGCAAATGAAGAGCATGGGCAGCTGCTGTGACTCTGTCAGAGTGAAAACTCGCTTTTTACACAGGCCCCATTTCCAGCTGCTCCATTGGCGGCGTGCAGGCCTACCTCAAACATGCACGTTTCCAAGCTGACCCACGACAGAGGGAGTGTGGCCCAGTCATGGCCAGTGAGCGGCCCCCTGAGCCCCTGAACACCACGGGGTGGGGTAAGGCCCAGCCATGAGCAGTGACCACGGTTCTGACGAGCGGCCTGTGGAGTTCCTGCAGCGCCCACGTCCCACGCCAGACGCCAGGTCAGGGTAAGTGCACTTCAGACACAGCCGGGCCCCTGGGGTGCTGGCCACGTGTCCTCGGTCAGCGGTGTCCCCTACACAGGGGTGATTGGTCCTACGGAAGCCTCCAGCAGGCTTTCCGAATGCCGCGCTCACACAGGGCAGCACAGGGAGCCTCAGGATTCGAGAGGAAGAACTAGAGCTGTGTGGCTTTAATGGGAGCGAGCAACTTGGCAGCCTCACCATGCCCCTTGTCAGAGACAGTCTTCACTGTCAAGGCCGCAGCAGTGAGCTGTTCCACTTTAAAGGAATGCCTGGCAATGTAAAGAGGAATTCCTTACCACGAACAACTTGAAATAGGTAACACTGACTCCTCGGAGTAACACACACACCAGGACTCAGGGCACATCCGTAGGGAACAGCAAACCTCACCTATTTCTCAGTGGTCTGTGGCTCAACAGCCCGTGAGACTCATAAGGTGCCACTACGCGTGGCGGGTGCTTCAGCCAAGGCCCCGCTGTCCTACGGGAGTCGCCTCTGCGTCCTGCACGTTGCAGAACGATTCCGGCCATAAAACAGGCGACTGAGCCGGTGTCCCCTGGCGCGTGCCCTCCACGCTCAGGTGTCCTGATCACCGGCGGGAGGGGGCGGCCAGGCCCTCGTAGGCCCGCCGTGAGCGCAGGCAGCAGCTCACACATGCACACTGGAGAGCTTGCTCAGTGCGAGTAGGGGCGGCCCCCGCTTCCAGAAATCCCCTGTTGCCACGGGCTCAGGCCCCCGGTCGGGGTTGCACCTGGGAGGCGGCCCACCCTCACAGGGTGCTCGCGAAGGGTTAGCCCAGGCCCAGGGCTCGGCCCGGCTCCCCCATAAAGGGAGGCGACTGTGTCACTAGTGTCTCTTAATCATACGGAACCCCAAGCTCGGCTGGTGACAAAATGCAACAGCCCCAAGCCATGGTGGCAGCGTTCTCGCACAAGGGCCGCGGCACTTACGTAATTGTCTCTTGCAGACCAGCCGGGATAGAGCTGCATGTGGAGCTGCCTCTCCTTCCGCGCCAGCTCGTAGTACTTCGCCTGCTCTTCCCGGGACAGGGCGTGCCACTGCGGGGCAAGCGACAGGTCACACGCGCGTGGAGGCCCCGAGCTGGACTCCCCTTCGCTCTCCCGTTCTCCACTACCAGGAGACAGGCGCCCGCTGCCGCCCACCGCAGGCCCAGCCCGGCCGTCCAGGCGTACCTCCCACACACAGCAGCAGTGGCGAGCGTGGGGCTGGGGGTGCAGCTCGCGCACTGCAAACTCCAGCGCCACCGGGCGGCTCCAAAGCCACATCTCTCTCCTTGGCATCTGTCTGCCGCACGCGCCTGGCCTCGGGCACCCCCAGCCAGCAGACCCTCCCAGAGAGCTGCGTGGCCGCCAGCCCCAGGGGGCTCCCCGTCTTCCTGCGGAGTCTCACCCTGTGTTCTGCCTGCTGATTCTTACTCTGTTCTTGTGTAAAAAGGTCAAGAAAAACCCAAAGGGAGAGGAAGTCGCATCTGGGTCCTCGTGGACCTGGGCCCCACCCCGAGTCCCTGCGCTGGAGAGGTCGGCCCGACTGACAGGTGCAGACACATAGGCGGGCCCAGGCCCAGCCAAGGGATGGTCGTTTTATTCACAGACCGAACAGTTAGCTGGGGCCCAGGCCAAACCTGGCTCCCCCAACCCGGCCCTGGTCCTAGAGATGAGGGTCAGCACCGGAGCTGAGGAAGGTGAATAAACAAACGTGGCTGACAACAACAACAGAGGTGAGAGGAAGGGAGACTTCCACGTTTTGTTCCCCTCGCCTCTCGGTACACAGTTTGTGTCATCACCACAGCCTTGGAGAGGTGCCTGTGTCTGCCGCACAGCGACCCAGGGAGGTGCTGAGCTGACCACAGGCAGGAGCCAGCCCCAGCCTCTGACATTTCTGATGATCAACCACTCTGTGCAAGATCATTTACCAGAGGGAAGCAGCAGGTGACGTGACGGTCAGTCTCGCGTGCCAACCAGAAAGCCGCCCTCCCCACCAGAGTTCCCGAGACACAATCAACACGGCTGTAACTTCCGTCAACAACAGAAAGAGTAAGTGCTCATGTTTTCAAAACATCTCATTTCTTGGTCAGGCCTGTTGGGATGAACAGCCACTGTACTTGCAGAGACGCATCCCAACAGGCAGAGATTCTGTCAGTGAAGTAGATGCGCTTCCTGTAACAAGCTGGCAGTCTCTGCGACAGCCTCGCAGGCAGCAATGTCTGTGCTGCTATTTAAAACCTGATTTCATATGAGTAAACACTCAGGGAAGGTTTGAAGAATGTTATCTTTATCTTCACTGAATCCCTAACATTCTAATTGTCCCAGGGCAACACTGCTCAATTTAAAAGCCAGGAGCTTCACAGACCCAGCGAGGACGCTCCTGCCAGCAGCCGGCCATGGAAGGACAGAAAGCCTGATGCCATCAGAGCTCTCAAAGCCCTGGAAGCAGACACAGGTGCGTAAATCACAGGCAGACACGAGCCGACAGAACCGCGTGGGCCCAATGTGCGGGTGGAGGGCGCTGGGAGCGGCGTTAGGAAGCGCAGCCCGGGGACCCCAGCAGGAGCTCGGCCTGCTCGAGGCCTGACTACAGCTGTGAGAGAACATCAGCCTCCGGGCCTGCGCCGGTGGCCGTTCCAGTGCTGGGCTGCCCAGTCACCGCACAGACCATGGGATGCAGCGGGCGGCAAAGGGCTGACCTAGACTCTCCTGACAGGCACTGATCACGCCAGACAGCCTGCCGCCCACCATCTCGCCGCCGGATGGATGCTGACCTGTGCTAGGTGTAACAGACACGCTCAAACGCGGCTCCCTGCTGCTGCCGAGAGACCTGCCTCGTCCTCTGGATGGTCTCCTGCACTCGACTGGGCAGGACGTCGCCATCAACTTAGCATCAAGTAAGATGAACCGTTTCTAGAATGGTCATGTATCCGCAGCACAATGTAATCAGAAAGAGGTCAGAACTTTTCTACTCACACCACTGCAATCCTGAGAAAAGCCCCTGAAAACACAGACCAGACCCTGGCTGGAGGCCAGCTGGAGCCTGCTGCCGGGCGCCGACAGAGGGCGGCGGGGCACTCAGCGTCTCCTGACTCCGTCACTGTCATCGCACAAATCAGATGGTGACTGGAGCCAAATGGACTCGTAAGCATGTCAACTCTTTTACCTCAGTCTTCCAGAATAAAAACTTAGAATTCTATCTCAAGAATCTTCCCTTCAAAGGTGAGGGGCTTGGGGGTGGAGGGGTCCCCCTGCCTGCAGGTAGCTGAGTGCGCCAAGCCTGTCCTGGGGCTGCGGCTGCCTGAGTGGATCCACTGTTTGTTTCCTCAGGGCCCTTCCCTGGCCACATAGCACATTACTGTTTCTCTCAGAACCTGGCTTGCGACACACACACTGTGCTCGCTGCCCACGTGATGTGTCTGTCAGTGCTTGGACTTTGCCTGGCCCTGAGCTCTGCTCAGCAGATGCAGGTCGCAGCCACTGGGGCCCGGCAAACAGCGCGCTCACAGGGTCGGTGGCACGTGGAGGCCACCGCGGCCCACTCACCCGCCTGCCCAGGATCTGGTTGATGGCGGCGCTCTCCTTCAGCGTGCACTCGGCCACGACGTTCGCCCTCATCTCCTTCATGTATAACATGAACGCGTTCAGAGGCTTCTTGATGTGAGGTCTCTTGGGCTCCTGCTCCTTTCTCTGTTCATGCTGAGGCTTCCTGAAGGGGGTGTAGGTGTCACAGACGGGGGGGGGCGGGAGAGCAAGCGCCTCTTTACCAACCCCTGGTGACCAGGTGCAGCTGCTCTTGGGAGCGCTGCCCCCCCCCCCCCCCCCCCCCCCCCCAGCTCAGTGCGGACAAGCGCCTCAGGGCCCTGGGCAATGAGGAGCCTCGGCCCCGCGTCCACCCGACAGTGGACACGGCCCCTCCAGCACCTTGACAGAGCAGACGGGGAATCCGTCAGTCTGTGCCCCACCCAGGAACGTCGGCTACCCCGTGGGGCGCCTATGCCATGCTCCCTGCCGCCCACACCCCCAGATCAAGGCGCTCAGCTGCTCATCTCTTCAGGGAGCTCAGCCCTGGGTAACAGCCTGGCTAGCTGTGCCCCTCACCCTTGAATGTGGAGCTCTGAAACTCGGGGTCCAGGTAACTACATCCTGGAGGTGGGGGGGGCCCTCTGCCACCCACCTCCCTCGGCACTCACAGGTGCCCCGGGGCAGTGCCCTCCAGCCCGCATCGCCAGGGAGCGCCCGCAGCTTCTGAGCTCCGGGCCCCTGTGCAGCTTCAGGCCCAAAGGCCAGCTGCTGACCTCCTGGAGCGGAGCCGTGGCCAGTGCCCAGGTATCCGAGCATGGGAGAGGGGCAGGCGGAGCCCAGAGCCAGGCCGCCCCCCTAGCCCCATCCACCCCCGTCCCCCACCCCGTGCTACTCACACGTGCATGAGGTCGCTGTCAGGGTGGGGGTGCTCCTGCTTGACCTGAGGCGTGACGATAGCGGGGTGAGGGATGCCAGTCGCGTGGGGACCAGGAGGGCCAGGAATCATGTGGTGGGAAAACCTAGGAGAGGAAGCAGCGGCGGGCTCTGGGCTGCTGTGGGGGCGCCCACGCCCCTGGCCCGCGGGCTGAGCCAGCCCAGCCAGGTGAAAACAGGAGCCGCAACGACGGGACTTTTCTTTCATCTGTGGGGACTTCAGCAGCGTGAGCACCGCGTCTCGTCGGCTCAGTGCGGACTTCCGCACGCGTGCTGGCACCGTGCAGACGAGGGCTGCCCCAGGCTGCCCGGCACCATCGGAAATCACCCATTTGAGGACAGGGCAAGTGGGGCCTGGCTTCCTGCCCCAGGGCGCTGTTGGGTGGAAATGGCTCCGGCCGGGGCTTCCCTGCGCTGGGGGCAGACAGGCCCCCAGGCCCCACCTGGGGAGGGACAGACAGACACTGCTCCCCACTCGCGCTCTGGCCAAGCCTGGCCGAGCGGCCCAACTTAGCTTTTCAAACTCAAACGGGTGGAAGCCTGGGCGATCCCTCCCTCGCCAGGGTGGAGAAGTCAATGTCGGGCTCAGACCGAACCTTAAGCGGCCGAGGGGGTGGCCGGGTGCTGGCGCCAGGCTCGGCCGTCTGCAAGGTCAAGGCGCCGCCCAGGGCCCGGAGGACCTGACCAGCAGCCTGAGAGCCCAGGGTAGGAGCCCGCTGGGGGTGGGGGGGGTGTCCAATCAGCCCCCTCCCAACCAGCTTGAGTTCCGGTGTGTTTGGCACACGACCTTTCCCCCTAAAGCTGAAACTCAGCTCAGAAACGGCGAGGGTCCCCAAAATAAAGAGCGCAGCTTCACACGAGGGGCGCCCGGCGCGCCTGCAGAGCCACGCCACGCCGCACAGCGCAGACCGCGCCACACACAGGCCAACCTCCCGAAGCAAAGCGGGGCGGCCCACGCGAGCTCGCTCCCCGGGTCCACAGGGCCTGATTCGCACACTAGGGCACTGCGTGGCCTCTCGCCGGGGAGCCCCATCAGCTGCCCCGGTCCAGGGGCTCTGGACGAGCAGGCCTGTCACATACCGTCGTGTGGACGGGGACAGGGTCCTCCAGGCTGAGGGGGCGGACCCAGCCCGAGGTCTCCCCCGCGCCCGCCGGCCTTGCTGCAGCCTCCCAGCCTGCCCCGGGCAGGTGGCCATGGGTTCCCTGGGGGACGCCGGCCGGCCATGGCTGGGGCTGTGGGCCGCTGCGAGGCCCCACCAGAGCCTGGGGCACCTAGTGTGAGAGCCAGGCACGCTGCAGATGGCGGCCAGCGCTGACCCTCCTAGCCGCGACCCGGAGCAAGCAGAGCGCGATGTGCAAGCGCAGGAGAGCGGCTGGGCCTGGGCGGGTCCTCCCACCTACCTGGACATGGAGGTGTCCACTGAGAGTGAGGATGGGTAGGGCTGCCTGAATCCTCCCGTGATGGGATAGACAGGCTGACCTTGCCTGAGGTCACAGGAGAAAGGAGCCCATCAATGACCAAACACCGGTGCCAGCCATGGGGGCGAGGGGGGGCCCCCGCGCTGCAGAACCGACCAGCCGCCACCCTCCACCCAGCGGGCCTCAGACGAGCCGGTCTCCACTGCCAGCCTCTCACCCCCGCCTCGCCAGGCCTGATGGCACCAGCCCTGGATGACAGCGTCCGGGGGGGAGGGGGCCAAGAAGAGAAGGACTGGAACAAGCACTCACCAGCCCTGCGCTCTGCCCGCCCGCCCGGCCCCACGGGCGTGCTCTGGGCCCCAGGGGAGCCCTGCCCGTGTCCGCACACCCCCCGCGTCTCACGGCACCGGGCCGCGGCCCAGCAGCCAGGGGCCGGAGCGTACGTACGCTCAGTCCCTGCTGGGGTCTGATGTGGGGGCTGGGGGCGGTAAGGCAGAGACAGGGGACCGGGCTGTGGGGGGGCAGCTGAGATGGCGGTCCGGGCAGGGAGCACGGTGGCACTACATGTATCTCTTCCTTCCCAGCGTTCCCTTGCCTGTACCTTTATAACCTTAAAATGTTTGGAAAGCAGCAGTCAGACTGTTTCAGTGGCCCCACTACCTGGAGTCTGGAAAAGGAAAAGCTGAAACCATCTGGTTTTCAGCCTGTTTCTCTTTGTGCTGCTCTGAACTCTAACTGGTCCCTTATTAAAAATGAGACGATGCCGGTGGAGTTTGGGGCGCCGTCTACCTTGCTCGCTGGCAAGCCGAGACGGTACGCGGCGTGTCTAAGTCTCTGTTTCAAGAAACCTTCAGTTCAGAAAGCTAGAAAGGAGACGGCGCTGCACACCCGGGACGCGGGGCCAGCGCCCGGAGCCACAAAACTAGAAGCTTCGAGGCAAACGCCACAGTCGTTTGCTACACTTGTCAGCAAGCTGACCCCTCCATTTCGGAGCCTGCCTGCTGTTGCATCTTTTCCACTGATGTGAAATGAGGTCACCTGGCTACGGGGGCGGGGCGCTGCCACAGCCCCAAAGAGCCCCCGCTCACCAAGCCCACTCGGGCGCCCGCCAGGCCGCAGGGAGCTTACCAGCCGAGGGACGGGGTGATCTGTCCGACACCGCCTGGAGACAGGGGGTAGAAGGTGGGGATCTCGGGAGCCGCAGGGTGCCTGGACATGCCTGTGGGGGAGGACAGAGGGTCACCTCAGAGCACAGCACGGCGCCATCACAGCCAGGCCTCCGGCGTCTGCGCGTGGGCACGGAGGCCACGGCGCGACCGGCTGTCCCGTCGGCATCTCTGGATTCCAGCGCTGGCGGAAACGGGTCACGACAGCAAAGGGTGAGGCATGCCGGAGGGCCGGTGTGCTGCCTCACACCCTGGCCGGCCCTCGGCCCCTTCTCCACCGTGGCCAGGAAGGACACAGACCAGGGCACTGTACGGGGGGTGGGGGGGACTCAGCTCTGCCCTGGCCCCATCTTGGCGGTTCCTGTCTACACACACAGAGCTGGCGTCTGCGGTACCTTGGGGATCACATTCATTAGGGATCCTTGCCGCCACCCCAATGTCACACGTCACAGGGTTCACGGGGTGTCCGCAGGCAGCTCGGACGGTGCCCAGGACGATCGCCTCTAGCTGGGGACAGTCTGTCGAGGAGGAACTACCTCGTGAAGCCAGCTCCGAGCACTGCTGGCTCCTCTCACTCAAGCCTGGACGCAGGCTGCCGCCTGCAGGGCCTTAGCCACGCCCACCTCCCGGCTCCCAGACGGCATCTCTGGCCCCACAAGCTCTGGGAAGGGTCCGCAGACCACCGAGGGCACCCTGGAGATGAGGCGCGCTGGAGGCCACAGTGTGGCCTGCATCTCACACCCGGCCGCCTCCCGACACACCCATCTTGGAGCCACCTCACAGTCCACCCACGACCCTGAGTTTGCAGTCTCTCGTCCTTTGCGCATCCTGCGTGGGGGGGAGGGGGGGGCGAGGCGGGCTGGATGAGGAGCAGGGCAGAGGTCAACCAGCAAGTATCTGCAGGGGGGCTCCCCGCAGACTCCCCGGAAAGGCTTGTGCTCCAGTCCTACGTCCACTTGAACCTGAGCCCTCCAGTCAGGGACCTTCTCGCGGGAGGGACATGGATGACTCGAGTCTAAGCTGTGCACGTTCACTGCGGCCAAGACCCGGTCCGCACGCCAGCGTCGCTGGCACTCGTGCTAAGCGCGCCCAGAAACGCAGGGATGGACACACGCCCTCTGTGGTCTGGGAAGGTGCAAAGGCCATGCCCTGGGCCCGCTGAGCCGAGGTCCTGCCTGCAACCGGCCTCGCGCCCTGGCACAATGGAAAGCGGGCGCTGGGGCTTGTAGGGCCTCCCTGGGCTTCGCCGGGGTCTGTGGCAGGGGGGCGGAGCTGGGCGAGAGCGAGATTGTGGTGCTTTGACTAAACAATCCTAGTTCTGTGCCTTAATCCTTGTGTCTATCATAGCTGGCGGTGGTAACAAAGAGGATAAAGCCTGACAGGCATTAAGCCAAATAACCAAAGACAGCTCAAAAAGATAACTTTTGAAGGAAAAGTCTACTGTCACTTTGGTGACTTTTGGAAGTCTCCTGCCATGGACGCCCCCTACATGCTGAAACACGTCCGTCCTGCAGGGGGCAGTGTGGGCTGACGTTCGTGGCTTTCTGGGCTGTTCCTGGGTTTTTCCCAGCTGTCATCTGCAAAGAACCCTTCTAGTCTTTTAAATCCTGAACTATGAAAGTAGCAGCACATTCTGTGCGGGTACAGAAGCCTGCTTTCCAACGAATGACTCAGCTCTCCCTGCGGTGACACGGAGCAGAGGTTGCGCAGGGGCCACGAGGTTGTGCAGACTGGCGACTCGAGTCTTCACTGGTGTGGAATTGAAGGGAACAAAGCAGACGAACAGGCTAAGCCAGAGCACAGCAACCCTGAAACCCAACTGCGGGACGAGCCTGGCCAAGTGGGCTGTCGGGAACAAAAGAGGAGCAGGCCTGGGCCTGCTGGCCACTGCCGGTGTCGTGGACAGCCTCGCCTCGCAGGACGAGCAAGCAGCCTATAAGGCGAGTGGGTGGCCAGGGGCGAGTCCTCACCTTGTTTGGAGCTGACCTCGGCAGGGATGTGCGCCGGGTGTGATCCTGGGGAAAAGTGCTCGTCGCTGTAGGTGATGAGGGGGGTGAGCGGGTGGACGGCGTGGGACGGCTGCACCACGGGCACCTTGTTGGACTGCAAAGCAACCAGAGAGCTCGCGGTTAGCACAGGCCCGGCCCAGGCCCCACTCCCAAAGGATGGGCCCCACAGCACGCAGGCGCCCCGCCCAGCTGGGGGCCCCGAACCCCTCAGGGGCTCTGCGGGCCCCTCCACATCAGCGGTCACCCCCAGGGCCTCTGGAGATGCTGCTCCACGGCCGGCGTCTGGGCCTCGGGGGCTCCCGGGGGCAAGAGCGCTGTGGCCCACGGCCCTTTATGTGGCCCACGTGTCTGGCATGGGGAGGGTCCGGCACAAACTGTGCCACCCACAAGCGGCTGCACCCTGCCAGCCTGAAAGGGCATGTCAGCACCCAGCAATGCCGATCTGCACAGCAGTGGCCCTGGCGTCCGGAAGCCAGCAGGGCTGTGCTGGCCATCAGTGGCCGCTGGTGTCCTACAGCTCTGCCCCACCCGGGCTCTGGCTGCCCGTAGGGCTCTGCCCCTCTCGGCCAATGGCGCTTTTGTCAAGGTTCCGGTCACTTTCGGGGACTTCATCCACTAGAAACAGGTGCTGCGTTTGTCTGGCTCAAGTGGGAGCCTCCTCCCTGCCCAGGTCAGGCCGGGTGGCAGGCTCAGTAGCCCCACCCTCCCGATGCCACCTTCTGAGGGAGGCGCCACACCGCCCCTCAAGGCCTCACCCGGCCAGAGCGCGGGCGCAGCCAGAGCCGCGCGCATTCTGCAGGCGCAGAGTATCATGTCCTCGGCGGTCCCAGGTCACACCCGCTCCCTCCACACAACTGGCCAGGCAAGGGGCTGGCACTGCGACAGGCGCGGGCGCCCGGGCCCAGGCCCAGCACAAGTCTGGGTCCCAAGCGCCTGAACACAGCAAGGGCCTGTGCCGCCGCGCACGCCTGGCCTCGGCCGTGGGGGCTCGTTGTGACCATCGGGGCAGCGCGGTGCCGGCTGGCCCTCCGGGGGCCACACTTTCCGGGCGGCTGGAGAGCGCACCACGCTGCACCCGGGCGTCCCAACGTCCCCAAGAAAACGAAGGCCACAGGCGTTGCAGGACGTCCCCTGGCCAGTGCCACCCCCCACCCTGGGGCCGTGCAGCCCGGGTCGACCGTGCAGGGCTGGATGCCGCGGCCACCCTCCCCGCCACACGGGCCTGCGTGCACGTGCGTGACGCCGGCAGGGTTGCGGCCACTCGGGGCTCCTGGTCTGGGCTTCCCAAGGGCGAGGACTTGAGGACACCGGCGGGCGGGGCGCGCGCAGCAGCATGGAGCGTCCCCGCTTCCCCCCAGACCACTGCCAAAGCCCCCACGCGAGTCCGCTCGCCCAGCAAGTTCCTCCCGAGGCAGCAGGCACCGGGCGAGGCGGCCTCCGGCGCAGGCCCGTGAGCCCCGCCTGGAGAGGCTGCTGGCCGCGCGCCCGGTGCCTCACGGCGCCCTCCAGCCCCTGCACTCGGAATCGGCGCCACGATTCCTGCTAAATTATGCTCTCCGTGCTCTCCTCTTAATTTTACGGTTTTCAACACAGATTTGCTTTCCTGTGGGAAGGAGATAAGAAGCCGGGGTTTTAATTTAAGCTCTGGCCTTGTCTTATATTTTGCAAGCTGCATTGTGGGTGCAGCACTCGCAGGTGTGTGAAAGCCGAGCAAGATTCCGTCCACTTCTGTGGCCCAACAACAAAAGCGACGTGAAATCTCAGGGGCGTGGGGGAGCTGAGCCCACGGGCTCCGTGGGCCTCCTGGTCTCCGCCCAGCCCACGCCTCGGGTGCGGGCACCGTGGCCAGCGGCCTGGCCTAACTGGGGGGCTCTCTCTGAAACCGTGTGGCGGCTTCGATACAGGCCAAGTGCAAAGACAGGCGCCACCACCCTCAACTCCCTCCTGGAGCCTCCCAGGCATGGGAGGTGTGTCTGGGTGAGGGGGGAGTAACCGACCACCGGCCTGTGTTCCCTCCCGCGGGGGTATGCCCACTGGTCACACCCCTGAAACGTGAAGATCGGCCCAGCACTGATGGCACCCAGACAAGCACCCTAGCCCCGCTTGTTTTCTGGGGGCCTGACGTGGGATGGGGGTATCAGCATAAGACGACGACGTGTGGAAAGCCACACAGGCAGGCTCTGACAAACACCACTGGCCACGGCGAAGGCAAGGCCAGGGCAGGCCGTGGGCCTCGAAGGGGCCTTCGGTCACTCACGCCGAGCTCCGGGAACCCAGAAGCTCCAGGACGTGGAGTCACTGGGCAGCAGGGGACGGCCGTGATGCTCCACGCCCCACTTGGCCTGGAGGGCAGGAAAGGGGCACCAGTGGCCCACCTCCATGGGAAAAGCCTCACCCGGCCCCCAGAGCCGAGTCTCCCTGGGAAGGCCGGACACCAGCCTCTCTTCATGGGGGGCAGGTGAAGGCGGAGGAGCAGGGCAAGAGTGCTCCGGCCCCCCCATACACACACTCGGTACCCCCACAGGCCATCCCGGCCCCCACGCAGGGGCCTGCTGTGTGCTGAGCAGGCGTGGTGCTGCCCTTTCAGAGGGCCTGTAGCGCCTTGAGGCTGTGGGCTTGGCGGCGGGGAGGCAGGATTCACATACAGAGCGCTGCGCTCAGGCACCACGCTGGCCAGAGCCCCGTTCACGTGGACGGCTACCGTGGTGGGGGGCGGGGGTGGGACCAGTATCATCCAGAACAGGTGCTGGATGCGGTCAGTGGGGCTCTGACTAAACCTGCACCCCCAGGCAGCGCCCACAGAGGGCAGCACTGCCTCTAGCCTTACAGGCCAGGAGGCCGAGTGTCCGGACATACAAGCTAGGCAGCCAGCTGCCTAGAGGCCTGTGCTCAGGGTCTGACCCCTAGTCCCTGCTCGTCCCAGCTGGGCAGGATCGCTGTCCCGTGGGGAGCAAAGGCAGGGGACAGCACAGAACGGAGCTCATCCAAAAAGAAGAATCCTGGGTCCTCCCTGGTGGCTCAGGTTAGGATACAGGACTGCAAGCCGGCCACAGCTACTTCAGTGTGAGTTCGACCCCCACCTCTGAGGTGACCCACATGGTGCCGCAGACCTCTCCTGACCAGCCCGCTGCTTCCCTCAGCAGTGTACTTCGTCAGTCCACCTGTTCTGCTCCCCACTTTGTCTCTGGTGAAGCCTCTCACTGCCCCTGCACCTCTGGCCTGCACCCCAGTTCTGTATTCAGAAATAATCTTTTTTAAAAATGAGAACCCCTGGGCCCTCCCTGGTGGCTCAGCAGTTTAAAGCACAGCACTGAGAATCTAAAGCTGCTTCTGCATGAGTTCGATTCCCGCCTGCCCCGGAGGTGACCACATGGCGTGGCAGACCTCTCCTGACCCGCCCGCTGCTCCCCTCAGCAGTGTACTTCGTCCATCTGCCTGTTCTGTTCCCTACTCTGTCTCTGGTGAAGCCTCTCACCACCCCTGAGCTTCTGGCCTGTACTCCAGTTCTGTATGCACAAATAAATAAATATATCTTAAAAAAAAAAAATAAAGAGAACCCCATTAACCCCATTATGTTTACATAAAAACCACATTTAGGAAAAACTACTACTTTTTAAATAAATAAACGTAACAAGGAGAGTGGCAATGTTTCACTGTGTTCGCAAATCTCTTTAGCACCCATTTCTTCTCTCTCTCTTTTTTTAAAAATATTTATTTATGCATACAAAACTGGGGTACAGGTCAAAGACGGGGGCGGTGAGAGGATTCACCAGAGACAGAGTGGGGAGCAGAACAGGCAGACTGATGAAGGACACTGCTGAAGGGAGCAGCAGGCGGGTCAGGAGGGGTCGCAGCGCCATGTGGGTCACCTCCGGGGCCGGGGATCAAACCAGCACTGAAGTGGCTGCCGCTGGCTTGCAGTGCTGTGCTTTAACACGCTGCGCCACCGGGGAGAGCCCAGCACCCATCTCTTCTTTAAGAGAAAATAATTAGATGCTCATTGCTGCTTTTGCACTCAACTCCTTGTTTTGATATGCATAAAGAACATCCAACCTCAAACAGATAAATGGTTGGATATGGATTGTTTTACTAGTTTTCTCAGATAACTATGGATCTCCTTTGACACTCCCTTAAATCCTGACAAATGGGAGTTTCTTAAAAGCTAATAGCAATGGAGGGCCAAAATCAAATACTTTTCCTAAAAATCCACTGAAAACCTTGCATCTTGATTTTGCCCAGGGACAGTTCTGTAATCTCATACTCTGCTCATTTGGAAAATACTGGCTCACTGAGCTAACATATTTCTTTCTACAACAGAAACCCCTCACCCATCACCAGCAGGACTGATCACATCAGAAAACCCTCAGGACCTGGGGAGCTATCAATACCAAGCTCACAGTAGCAGAGGCAAGTTTTCTTGCATCTCAGATTATTTGCTTGAATATTTTTGCTTTAAGGACTCGGGAGGTTATCAAACCCGCTCCTGGGTACCACTTTTCTAGAATTCTCATTTTTGTTTGAAAACTCAGATTTTATCACTGGCAATAAACTCAGTCAATTGTTCCCATTCAAGAAAGACTCACTTTCTCATGAGTGAGGCAATAGGAGCCAAATGCCAGTCACAAGAAGCCTCACTTGCTCGTCAGCTATGTGTTTGCCAGTCCAGATTTAATACCATTAGTGATGGTTACTACTTCGTCAAGGTTATTCTTAAGTGACAATGGCATTTTGTTTTCTTGAGAGGGTGGCAAGCTACAGAATTACATGACAAGGCATCAGCTCGGACACCTGCCCGCCAATCCATCCAGATCAACTCCCCTACGGACAGACAACAGAGGTGTCAGTACGACTGCACCCTCAGCTGGCTCCACAGCCCACACTGGGAGAACTGCTGGCTGCAGTAAAGTAATCGTTTAACAAAAAATAATAAAGCAGCTGCTGACAGTAGATAATCCAAGTAATAAAATGAAAGGTATCGTTTCAGTGTGGTTGAATTCAGAGAGAAAATGATTGATAGCATTACAAATGGAGTTTTTTCGTGGTAGACCGAGCTATTATCTCCCTTCTCCCCTTTACTGCTATTGAAAAAGTACG